AAATAAAACAAGCGCTCACGATTAATGAATAGTCGGGTTTGGTGGGGTTGGGGGTTTGGGGGGTTTGGGAGTTTTTTTTTTGGGGGGGGGGGGGGGGGCGTTGTCGGGGGGGGGGAGACCGTTATCGATAAATTAAAAAAATCAACCATTTTATCAGAGAAGTTTATTTTTAACGAAAGTAACACCACAATGTGTACGTGAAAGCCAGTGCATTAATATACGTCATTGTTGGCATGTTGATAACGCTCGTTAAATTACCATAATATTTATTATAATATAATAATTAACTATATACGGTCTAGTTTCATTTGGTGGTGGACGTGACTACGTCAGTTCCTTTTTATTTTCCATTAGTTTAATTATCGTGTAGGTAAAATGTACACAACTATACACAGCTCTTACTACACGGAACTTCACAGGCACAAGAAACTTACACACTTTTATGCTGGCAGTAATTCACTATTCTTTATTTCGCTTCAATATTGCCTTACAAAATGATTATTCGATCAATTATAATTGGACGATTAGTGGAGTGAAACTGTAGTAGACGGGCGAGATTTTCGATTCGTTCGAAATTTTATAAAGAAGAAAAAATACGTATGCTTGGAAATATTGAAATATCAATTATTTTAAAATGACAAGCACTTTTTGTTGGTGGTAATGTTCGCAATTTAACGAAGTAAAAAATCATTTATTTATCGTTGATAGTTTAAATCATTGGTAGACTAGCAAGAAAAAAGAAGAAGAAAAAAAATATATTTTAAAACGGTAATAAAAAAACTTTGTATTCATAAATAATCATTGATCTTTAGAAAAAAAAAACAATGAATTTTAATGAAATTTTATTATATCATTGTAATAATGTGAACAATTGATAATTATTATATAGTAAATATTTTCAAAAAATTGCCATTATCAAAATTTATTATTTATACATTATAAATGATTAGCAATTAAATACTTACGGGATGCGCTAAAAATTATAACGTACAATTACTGACGGCAAATTGCAACGATGAATTGTCATAAAGATCATTATAAAAAAATGATACCAATACATAATTATAGAGAATACGGTTAAATGTTGATAGTTTACAACACTTGCACACTGCACAACAATGGAACATAGTTTTGGAGTATTTTTGTTAAACGGCAATTTAGTGCGACAAAGCCAGTAATAGGTGGCGCTCGTTGACAATGGCCACTCTCGTGATCTCTATTATAAAGCTGTGTGTGTGTGAATTTTTGAAATTTGTATGGACGCGCGTAGAAGCAGGTATTATCAGGCAATTTGTTAGTATATTACTTGTAACTAACGAATCGTCGTTGTCATTAGGATGATATAGGGCTTAGAAGCTTATGTCGTTTTATGGATATGGATTCTCTTCATTAATACAAATTATTTTATATCTTATAAATACAGGATAAATATATTCTTTGTAAAAGAATTATTAAATTAAAAGATTGTCATTAAAAAAGAAAAAAACACACACACACACACACACACACACACACACACACACACACAATTGCTATTCGGATTAATGCTATAATGATAATTTTATACGAATACATTTTACAAAGGTTTAGATAAAATTTAATAAAGTAAAAAAAAAAAAAGAAATTGTAAACTTTCGAAATTGTTGGGAAACTAATTTTCACGTAAAACATTGTGATTCTTAAGAATCGTTGCAACAAAGTATCGATGAGAATCGTTTATGAAACGCATTAAAATTAATATAAGATCGGGCACACTGTATTATAAAAAATATGATATTTGCTGTAAGGGAAGCAATGTGAAGCAAGGATAGCATGATGGAAGTCTTTCTTTGAACAATATTTTACGAATGTATCTTGAGTTTTGTTAACGATATTTTCATAGTTTAAATCAGTACTCGTCGTCCGTTCACACATTATTTACAAAATTGCTTAAATATAATTTTTACATATCATAATGTTAATGCAGGAATCTGCTTTATTATCGTCAGATAAATACTAAGGTATTAAAAGTGTGCTTTTAACGCACACATTTTTTAAATCATACGATTATTGGTGTCTGATATATATATATATATATATATATATTAAAAGCTTCGAGCTTCCAAACGAATGCCTAATTTGCTAGTCGATTATGATTTGCCGATGATTATTAGAAATTGCGATAAATACAAAGATATGATGGCCTGCCATCTGCTTGCCTGCCATAGTTGTTCAATATTCTGAGATCGCTCGATCGGTAATCTCAGCATCACGCTTTCAAATTTATTTCTTACAAAACTAATCCTCCTGAATAATCTTGTAAATCGTATAGTAAAATTGTAATATTACGTCTAACGGATAGCTCACGTTGAATGGGAAATTTTGTTTCGCGCCATATATCTCGAGAAATTTCATAAAAATTCAATATAAAAAAATTGCATACAATTATTTCGGAAGTCAGGGTCAAGCCGATCAATGCAATTTTCAAGCACTTTTCATTAGCATGACAATGGCCAATAAGCATTTCAAAGAAACATTTAAATACTCGAATTAATGTCGTATGATTATATAATTCATTTTAATGCATGGAACGCGAACTAAAATAGCGTTGCGTTCTATTTTACAAAGCAAAACCACGTCAGCATCGCATCGTGAAAAACAACTTTAGGGAGTCACGGTTTTGGTCCTAAGCCTTACTCATGCTCATGCACCTTCACACGCTCATTAATTTTAATTTAACATCATTGTATAATCATCTGTCGATTTCATACGAATTTATTAACGAGCCAGATCGGTAATGGATTATTGCCACGCGCACCTTTTCTCTATGAGCAAGCGCCGAAAGTAATTATAGTACAATTTATTGGATCTGTAATAGAAGATGAAGAAGAAGAAGAAGAAGAAGAAAAAGAAGACAAAATAATATAAAATAAATAAATAAATAAATAATAGGACTCACGAATAACTGCTTGTACCTTATCGTAGGACTTTATTGCTTTTGTTCATATCTCCAAAATATGGGGGGTACAAAATAAATAATTTTATAAAAAATATAAACCCTCGCTATGGAGGCGTGAGCATCCATCCGTCCGCATACATACTTTACATGGCGATACGCACTTTATTGCCAAGTGTGCGTACGCCGGCTTCTATATTGTTACATAGGGCTTACAACTGAATTATAGGAAAAAGAGAACAGAAATGAAAAATACTCGCTTCCGCGTTATGCAAACTAATGCATATATATATTGTAAAGAAAATATTAATAATAATAGTGGTATATTCAATCGTCAAAAACCCTTCCCGAGACTCGTCGAGCTTCGTTATACGTTTTATATACAAAAGGGGAAGAAAAGGATTGGGGGGGGGGGGAAGAATAGCTCTTCCTCTCTTCGTACACCGACATACACAAATTAACAAAACGCACAGTTTAGACATGACGAGGAACTTATTCCGGTTCCGTATTCTTCTCATTGTTCTGTCTCTCTCTCTCTCTCTCTCTCTCTCTCTCTCTCTCTCTCTCTCTACTCACTAAAATCATTTGTGCGTCAATGCGTCAAGCATTTTCTTGAATTTAAGGACTTTTACACGTACGCTTAACAGTAAAAATTCAATACTGTCAATTGAAAAATTATTTTCCTGCCCTAGATTTATTTATAAAAAAAAAAAACAAAAAAAAAACAAAAAAAAACAACCGAGGAAATACGACACCCCGGTATAAAGAAAAACCGGGTTTGATCTCCAATTCTATATGTATATGTATGTATATATATATATATATATATATATATATATATATATATATATATATATATAGATAGATAGATATATAGATA